AAAAATAAATAAATAAATAAATACAAGACAATTATTGTATTACAATAAAATTGAGAGAACTAACTTTTAAAAAAAATTTAATTTATAAATGGCTTTGGATTTTCAAATCTAATTAAAATAAGTATAAAAATACTTATAAAATTAATTAAATATTTTTAATAAATTAATAAAAATAAAATTTATTAAAGATGTTTAAATAACCATCGATGGGTGCGATGGTTGCCTCTAAATCCTGCTTTTCTGAAAATTGAATACTGATGGCTCAAGGTCGCATCAATCCGAAAGACCATGTGTTTGGGCCTTGATTTGTGATCATCAAGGTCATTGGGTACATGGATTTACTGTAAATATAGGTGTTAGCACCTCTAGCTTTTAGCTTCATTGTTGAGATTTGGGGCTATCATGACGGTTGAAGGCTAGTTCTTTCACTTGGAATAAGACATTTATCTTTAAAATGGATTCTTTATTTATTTATTTTTTTTGATGTATAAAATGGATTCTTTATTAACTGTATAGTTGATTCAAGCAAGGACGATTGAGAATGGATCTTTTTTTGTCTTATTGGCTGATATTCTAACCTTGTCAGATGCCTTGACTGTTTGCCTGGTTCAATTCAACACACGCTTTGCGAAGGAAATGCTGCTGCAGATTTTATGGTTGCTTTAGAGGTGGGCAAAAACCAATTTCGGTTGAAATTGAAATTCGTTTTAAAATAACAAATTTTTTTTTTTTTTGAATTTTGAGAATTGAAACCAAACCAAAGTTTTCACACATCAATCAGTTCAATTATCAATAAAATTGGTTTGATTTTGGTTTTTATTAAATAAATATTAATTAATTTTTTTTAATAATAAATTATTTTTATGTCATATTTTATCATATTTTATAATATTTATTCAAATTTTGGTTTTCCAAAAACTCATTTTTGATTTTTGATTTTTGACTTGTGAAAGATTTAATCGAAACCAAACCAAAATTTATTCAATTAACATCAAAACTAAAACAATAAAACTCAAAAATCATTAAAGCCAAACTAAATTTATTTTTTTGTTCGATTTCCAAGTAACCATTTGATTACCCACCTGAATGCTCACCCCTAACACTCATAACTCTACCCCAAGCATCATCTTGTTTAAAGATCCCCCAGTCGGGATCAAGTTGATCTTGCATGGTAACCGTGTTGGGGCTTTATTCCTTCTAAACTCTAATTTAGTTCCTCATGTATCAAAAAAAAAAAAAAATTTTCAAGTTTTTTATGTTTTTATACAAATAGATTTGAAAAAAAATATTTTTTTAATAAAATAGTAAACGATTGAATCGTTTTTTTTTATGGGAATTGAAATAAATTATACTTACTAATTAATTGAAAAATCAATTGGTAAATTCTCATAAGGTTGGTTTAAAACGACGTGAATAATGGTTTAATATTAATTCAGTTACTTACACTCTAAAATCCTATACTTTACTCAACTTTTTGATAATAAAAGAAGGATATAATTTTTTTTTTTTTATGAGAAGCAAAAGAAATGTTTCCTTTGAAGAGAAGGCAAACAAGCTTATATTTGTTAAGAAACTGTTTGAAATGAATTAGCGTTATGAAACTTGTTTGATAAACATCTTCCATATATGTGATTGATTTTATGTTTATCATGGAAGCTATTTTTGTTCATCAAAAAGCATCAAACGTTAAAAGATGAAGATGTTTAAGAAAAAAAATGAGTCAATAACGTTTACACAAGTAGGTGAATAAAAGTTAATAAATCTGATTCTTGATTTCACAATTGTTGAGATCTTTAATTGTACCTCTTTTTTGGTATATGGAAATTAGAAATTAAAATTTAAATATATAATTAAAAATATAAATAATTATATTATTAAAATACATAATTGATGATCTTATTATGCTTTTATTTTTGGGAAATGATTGATACATTATCGGTTTGATATTTGATTCAACATTTTTTGATTTAATCATTAAAAATATAATATAAATATAATTAATTCAATCGGTTTCTATATCTGTGTGCATGATTGTATCATTATATTTATTTATTTTTAATTTTAGATTAAAAAATAATAATTTTTAATAACTAAACCGAAAAATATTGAACCGATACGTGTACCAATCACTGTCTTTTATTTTTTAAGTCAATTTATTTGTATATCATGTCATGACAATTTAAAACTTAAATTTTCT